TGTGTGTGTGCACTTTGGATGGGATAAATGCAGAGCACTAATTCTGAGTATGGGTCACCATACTTGGCCACATGTCACGTCACTTTCACTTTAAGATCCGAGCAGACCACAGTGGGCCAAAACAAAACTAGGTGGCGACTAATAGTTTGGACTGCTGTCATATCACACATCACAGTGATCAAAATCAGCCAGTCAAAGTGGCTCACACTGTAAAGCTGTATGAATACATAACATTCAACAGGGACAGTCATGAAGCAAATCAGAAGAGCTTCAAATGAGAAAAACGTTCCCCCTTAATTATGAACGTCACAAATAAACAATAAATTCCCAACCTCTCTCATTATGGGAATGCAACGTCTATGAAACCAGTGCCAAATCCTGCCCTCTGGTGTTGCAGAGATGAAGAAACCAGAGGCGGACAGTTGTGTGTAGATCAAATGCTGTTCTTTTGTACTTTCTGTTCATCAAAGAATCCTGGAAAAAAATGTACCACGATTTCCACAAAAATATGAAGCGGCACAACTGTTTTCAACATTGATGATAATAAGAAATGTTTGTTGAGCAGCAAATCATCATATCAGAATGATTTCTGAAGGATCATGTGACACTGAAGACTGGAGTAATGATGCTGAAAATTCAGCTTTGCATCCCAGGAATAAATTACATTTTACTATATATTCATATAGACAACAGTTTCAATATATTATTGTTTTTAATGTATTTTAATTAAATAAATGCAGTCTTGATGAGCAGAAGTGACATCTTTTAAAAACATAAAAAATCTTACCGACCACAAACTTTTGAACATTAATGTAATATTAAAGAAAAGAAAATATACTAATACTACTACCATATTGTATTAAGATTATGTTCTATATTCAGGAAAATGGAGCAGAATCTAGGTGAAATAAAATGGAAATAATCAAATGTGCAAAAATACTTCTGTATTTTTATATCATCTAAAATGACATGTATTTGATGTATATAAAGTGAGCTAAATATTCATGCATGTTTCTTTTTGTTTTCGAACCACGTTATTGTTTTATTAAACATTTATTACACCCTTAATCCAGAATTTAAAGTGTCTGTGTTTGAGCTCACCCTTCTTGTTCACAAAAAGCAACCACTGCCTCAAAGTCCAGGATGGGAGCTTTATCCTGCTCTTTCTCTGATCCTCACTTCTCCTGAATTCAGAACACACAGCATATCAGACACAATGGCTGTTTAACTACTCAGAAGCATGAAGATATCCAGACTGGATTTTTTTGTTCCCAACCTGTTTGCGGGCGATTTCTTTGCGGATGAGGAAGTTGAGCTGGTCTCTGTCTTTGGGTGAGTAGTATACCCTGCAGGACGACGTCACGTCCAGCTCGTCCCGACTCCTGATAGTAACTGGCCAAAGACTTCGCCAGATTCCAGTGGACGACAAATCTGAAAACATGCAGACATTTACATGCGATGTCAAACACAGCACAGATGTATGCGAATCAGTGAGCTTCTCTGATACGTAGGGATGTAACGATTCACTCAACTCACGATTCGATTCACGATTCGAAAGACAGTGAGTTCCCCTCAGACATACATTCATATAAACTCTTACCCCTAATTGAATCGCGATTTGTTTAGCATCTCAACCGATTTGAATCGTCACATATTTCAATCGATTTTCAACCGGCTTGCGGTTAATCCCTACTGATACGTCTACAGATCTACTAAGAGACTCAAGAAATAGCATTTAGGCACCAAAATTGTTTATGCCACAAACAAGCAAATGCATTATTGTTTACTCGGTTTAGTCAATGATTGGCCGTGAGTTTTCTTAAGCTATTTAATACAAGACACCGGTTACAGCCTTCGCAATAGAATAAATTACATTTAAAAACATACAAACAAGTTATTTTCAATTGTAATAATATTTCTGTTTTTGAACGGTAGTATATACTTGCAATGCGTGACTCACCTGACATTGGCCTTGTCCACTCCCATACCAAAACTGATGGTGGCCACAATAACAGGCACTTTATCGGCCATCCAATCCGTCATCAAATCCTCTGTGCGATCGCCCACCTTCAGCCCTACAGAGAGATGAAACATTAACCAGAATTATATTTCCCGTGCAAACAAGCACAATAACATTATACACACATATTTAAAAAAGTGTGAATAGGCAGCAGTGAAGGGATCACCTGCATGGTAGGGCTTGGCTGTGATTTCTAGTTTGGTCAACTTATGTACCACTTCCTCACCACTCTCTGGTGCGACAGTAAACTATCCCACAGCCCTGCAAACCAAGCATGGGTATTTAACATTATATCTTCCTGAATTACATATATAACATAAAGGAACCGTTTAGCCAAAAATAAAAATTCATCATTTGCTCACTCTCATTATTCTTCCCATGGAACACAAAAAAAAGACGTTTATCAGAATGTCCGAGCTACTCTTTTCCATACAATGAAAGTGAAGAGTAATTGACACTGTTGAGGTCCAGAAATGACAAAAAAAAGTAGAGATGCACCAATTGCAATTTTCTTGGCTGATTCCGATTTCCGATTTTTTTGTAAGTGTGACCTGCCGATACCGATTTTCTTTCGAATAACTATAATTGACAGCATATAAAAACAAAAATCTACTTTTTTCAATTCAAAAAAATTATTTGTGACCCTGGAGCACAAAAGCAGTCTTAAGTCGCTGGGGTATATTTGTAGCAATAGCCAAA